GTGTTTTTTTGTTTTTTTCCCGTTTTTTTTTTTTTTTTTTTTTTTATAAAGCTAGGCGCAGATTAAAGATTCCTGTATTCTCCGGATAGTTTTCCATCTAATCGTGTGTTTCTATCGTCAAAAATTTTCTCAACGCTCGATGGTCCCTGTTTCTGAATTTCTGTCTCGTTGTTTAAATATCCTCTTAAGTAATTTTTCATCTAACCGTGGTTTTTTATCGTTAAAAGTCTCTTCCTCTAAAATTTACAAGATTTACAAAAATTAACAAACCATCACTTTTGTTAAAAGTTTGCCATTAAAGGAATTATTATAATGCTCTTCGCGAAGTAAAAGAACGTTTCAACGTTCTAACATCTAAAATGAAATTCTTGGAGCTTCATCGTATAGCTCGATCGTTCATTACTATTTTAATTTATCAATCTTCGGTCAGAGCGGAGCGGATCATCATCGTCGATCGGCCTGTTCGGTTCATTGCCCCAGTTTCGGTTTAAATACACCGTTCCTCGTATCCTGTGAAGCTATGAACGTGGATACGAGTAGACAGTTGTATTAGATGGAGATGATCTTGTTGCTGGTTTTGCGGTAAACCGCTTCCAGTTGAATTTCCCGGATACATGACTGATTGCGCGATCCTGCCACTGGCCAGGATTTATTTCCAGATATTTTCTGAACAATAATATGGCGCACAGTTCCAGAATATTGTTCCAAATTTAACAAATTGATTTAACAAATTTAGTAAATTGATTCAATGTTTAACATTGTAACATATACCGCATTATATTTAATTATTTATTTGTACGATTATAACCTTCTTATTTGGGTATTTTAATTGAAGATAAAAATGCAGCCAAATTTTGTTATGTGCATTTAATAAAATTCAGTTCAGTCCCTATAAAAAATTCTGTAGCTTTAAAAATGCTGCCTTGTGCACAAAGAATTATTAATATCACGACGTAGCTCGCAATTCGCAGTCGCGATTATTTCTTCATTAATCGAACGCGTTTTTTTTTCTTTTTTTTTTTACACGTATTCGAGCCATTTTCGAGTTTCAACCGAACCAAATCGCGGCCATAGGATAGCAACGAGATCGAGGGAAGCGGGTTGCAGATCCCAGGGACTAATCTGCCTTCTGGAAAGTTTAAATGGAAACGCCAGGGAATGGGGTTAACGAAACACCCGAGCCAATGTTGCAATAGAGGCGTGGAAAAATTGCTAAGCTGCTTAAACGCTCGAATCGTTTGCTCGAAATTTCGAAATTTTTCCCCTTTTCCAACAAAACGTCCCGAATTTCGAACCGAGCATGTTGAAAGAGAAATTGATTTAATACGATAATTGACTAAACTGTTCGATTCACGGATGAATAACTTGATGCAGTTAGTAAAACGAAAAATAAAATAACACAATGTCATTCTTTAATTTTAATAATTGTATTCTTTCCGCAGAGAGTTGTCTTAAACGTAACGCGAATCGATTCTCATAGAAAGTACTACGCAATGCGCCAATCTTTGGAATAAAAATTTCGATTAAAAGATTGTTTATCAGTTTTATTCAAGTTTTTGTATATCACCGGTGCTTTTCTATAAAATCTCTAGATAGAATAATTAGCAAGATTTAATAAAAGTTATAATTCCGGTACGTAAAACTACGAGCCACGAACCAACTTGGTTTTTACACAAAACGACATTAATAAGAGAGATTGCTAATTTGAGTTAAATAGAAAGTTTAATAATTCACGAAACAATGGAAACGGAATAATTTTTCCTAAAAGCACAAATCGTACGTTCAATTATTTTACGTGAAAACAACGTCTAAATTCCTTCTATTCTGCGTCTTACGCATACGCAGCAAACAAAGTGACGATAAAAAAGCGGCAAGAAAAATCTCCAAACAGAAACTTTCCACGTTACACTGAGTTACTTTCAAGTTTCAATATTGTTCCAAGGTATTTACGGTCCCTTCGAGATATTTCCTTTTTTATTCCGTCTCGAATTCATTTCGTTCTCCTCGAGAGAAGAAGAGATTGCGGTTCGATGCAAATCAAGGATCGTCCCCGTCCATGTTCTACCAGGCTCCAAGACCAAATATAAAAAAGAAAACCACCACCATAAAATGGTGAACTCGGAGGCGTGCACCGATATTATTTACAATATGATTGAACAGCTTTCTATAAAAAACGGAAAAAAGGCGTCCTTCCCGTCTCGTGGGAAATAATAGGCGACGGGCTAAATTCACTTTGCCTGTCGGTTTTACGTGTCCAGAATCGCGATAAAAAACGTTAGACTCGTGACGAGGTAACAGGATTTTATGATAATTGATTTAACGAAAAATCGATACGCATAATTTGCATTTAGAGCGAGCGAAGGTTCTTATTATATGATTATGGCACATTGTATGGAAATCTGTTTTGTTGCTTGCTTCATATTTTCTGATTTTTATTTTTCGCATAACAATTATATCATAATACTAATTGTGCTATAGATTTTATATAGAATAACTCATTTGGTAACTATACTGAAAATTTGTTCAACGAAATACTCGATTGTAGAAATAAGTAGCAAAGTAATAAATATAAATTTATGATTTATGTAAGATGAAAGAAAGAAACGGAAGAAAAAGTAAGTTCGTAGGTAGGATAATAGCGATAATCCAAAGGAATGCAATAATCGAACATAAACGCGAGTCCAGGTCGCCTACAAACAGTTATCGCGTCGATGGTCGACTGCTCACAGCTATCAATCACTGTGCGCGAATTAATGGACCGTTAAAAATGCACAGGCGTCGAAGTATGTGGCGTACAGGACGCCTCCGCTGAAAGGCGATCGATACCTCGATGGGGCACGCATGTTCTCCCACTGTCTCGCCGAATTATCATTAAAAATTGTCACGTCTGATTCCATTTCCTCATCCTTATTTCACAAATTTCTCACTCCTTCTTTATTCGTCGAGACGTTTGCATAATTTTCAATCGAAAATTAAAGCGAGAACATGACAATGAATTTTTAGAAAATTAGACGCGAAATAAATTTTTTCTACAATTTTTTATTACAATATGCAATGGTCGAACGAAATTAAATACGGAGTTTATGAATGTGTAATTTTCAGTTAAAAATTGAAATTAAAATACGACAAGGGATAACAATTACAAATATTTAGAAGCAACGTCGTGTAATGACGTATCTTACAATTTTTATCGCGGAACGACAATAAAGATGCAATTGTTTGCGATTTTTTGAAGAAGCAATTTGGAAATATAGACTTTTATTGAAACGAGAGCGTAAAACGAGAGAGACTTACGAATGTTTAAAAACCCTGTCACAAAATGGATTATTTTGTAATTTTCATTATAAAATGAAATGCTTTGATGAAAATGAAAGAAGAATTTATATTCGATATGTTGGATCTGCGTTACTTTGTGCTGTATTTAAAATAAACAGTGATTCGTATGAAATTATATGACGCACCTATGCACATCTCACCATATACTGACTCGTACTACTGAAATCCAGTAATATTCACGTTTCTCTTCATTTCCATCTGTCGAATGTAATTATTTTTAAAACTTCCATCTAAAAAGTGTCTCGATTAACAATTTTCTCCAATTCTACTCGAAAAGATATACAACCAACCCACGTTTTTCTGTATTCCTTCGGTTATTTTCCATTTAGTCGCATGCCTGTAATATTCAAAAATATCTCGAAGAATTTGTTGAAAATACGAAAGATTTTTTATTGGTACGTGATTTCCACGGGATATCGAAAAATTTATTTCTTAAAACGAAAGCAAAATTAAAATACACGACAGTACGCGAATGTATCGTAAGTGTAGAAACAAGTGGCAAACTAATTAGCAGAAATAGATTAGAATCGTCTGTCGAAAAGCTTGGGTATGACGTATCGCAATAAAATACAGAATTCGCTTCTGGATTATTTGGAAGTACGCGTAATATTTCTTTTGTCTTACTTTTATCAGAAGATACCAATTCTTTTATCGTGTTACGTACGAAAAATCAAATATAAAAAAATGCAATAAATATAAAAATTCGAGAAGTTGAAATCTTGTTACGAGGTTGAAAAAGAAAGTTTACAGTCGTTACAAGCTTTAATTCGTCCAATTTCCGTTGAAATCCTGTCAGCAAAATTCCAAACTATCGTTCTCTTAACTATGTTGCGTAACTTCGTAACAATAACGAATTAACAGGCTATTCGAGCAACTTGGAAATTATTCGATCTCCCCGCGCCATGGAATAATATTTTTAATTAGTCGGCTCGTTTCGTAATTGGGCCAGTGCAAATGGAAAATTAAAATTCTAGCTGTTCGTCTGCTGTTCAATTCTGGATAGACTCGACAGTCGTGTAATTCAATTTGTAACGGTTCAATGATAAAAAGTACAAAGATTATGATATAAAGGGAAGAAGGAGAACGCAGTTTAGGTGTAGCTCGTTTATCAGAGGGAGAAGACTTGCTTGGCCAACTTGAAGAGCTTGGAATGAGTTTCTAGTTGCATTATACGCTCCGAGAATAGCCAAGGAATAACCGTGTTAGCGACAGAGTTGTATTATTTCGAGAAGTAAAGCATCCATCGTGTCTTTCGACGTCTAACTGCGTTTTACTTCAATTCTTAGGTTACGTTTATTCGATGTAATTTGGAATTTTTGCACGATGTTGATAAAATTAGTAAATCGACACATTATCGGCCAATGATTGTGAAACGATGAAATTGACGAATTGAATTATGAAATTTTTCTCGATCCTAAGGAATAACGCGTAATGATTTTCTGACAAGGTATCGCTCCTTTGTTTCCAGAAAATTCAACTGAACGTTGCTCCTATCCATCATGGGTGGTGGACAATAAATTGTGGGTGGCTCTGGATCCGATAGCATCTCGACTACAGGCGTCGCCTTACAATCTGACGATTGTAAATCGACAGGAGACTCGTCTCGTGTGTCACTCCGTAGTCCCTCTTAACGATCGTCATGAGCATCCTGACAGAGAGAATCAGGTGCAGTACGTCGCCAAGGCTACTCTCGATTGGTAAGTTTCTCAGTCTTCAGTTCGTTAGTAAAAGTTACTTAAACTACGATTCGAACGTACAACGATATTTCAGCAAAAGATCTGAAATTTGATGTTCTGAGGCTTGATTGACAGAATAGAATTTAGGATTCATAATTTGGCACCCATGACTCGGATCAGTAACGTGGGACCCATCAACTAGGACCCAAAGCTTAAAGTCCAACTCACAATATTCATAAAAAGGTCGCGTAGAATATACAAAATCAGGAAGCATAGTCCATAGTCTAACGGTGAACTCTTCTTTTTATCAAAGTAATGCAATGATGTAGAGTTGTCTGTGTGCGAGCTTGGTCTATCGATCCATAGTAGTCTACGATTTGCTCCAACTTCACAACAGCAACAGATTGATCGTAATATTCGAAATGGAACGTGTAGTCCAATTTATCATGGAATCGTACACGGCAGTGTAACACGAATATCAGGAAAATTATAAAGATCCGCCAGCTCTCTAAAAGTTACTCTGAGATATATTGCATCGTTAATTCGAGAATGGTTAAGACGTGAAATTTATAGTGTTCTACTAAGCTATGATACACTGTGAAAGGGTTGAAACGGAAAATAAAATGCACAAACAACGCAACGAACAGTGGAACACAACGAGTAACGAAATACGAAAGAGACGTGAAAAGCATTCATCCGGAAGAGGTATCGTCATGGTTGTTCCGGCTGCAGCAACAAACAAACGCGTTCACAGACAAAAGCATCGGTGTCGAGGTTGCTGGCACGGCGTGTAATTATGACGGTATGTCGCGATAATCCTTTCATCGCATACCGAAGACGCTCGTGCGCGCATAAATAAACAGCTTGCGTCGGATTAAACAGAGATCCTACGGTTCGGCTGGTACACGTGTCGGAATGTCAATATATGTGACCCTGCACTCAACCACTCTCTTCTGGTTCAAGTACTGTGCAACCGTGTTCGCGCCACGTAACATATCGCTTTTAATCGTCCGTGCCCTGTCCCGTCTAACGGGTGTCCCATTATTTCCGGATCCAGTTGCTGTTTTCGTTGAAATGAGCGCACCGGAAAATTAGATCTCTCGTTTCTCTTTACTTTCTTTCTGTTGTTTCTCTTCTTCTTTTTGTATTGTATATCGTGTTCTTTTTTTCTTTTTTTTTTTTAGTAAATTTGTCCTTTTTGATGGATTAAGATTGGGTTTAGACTGGATTCGATAATTCCCATCTTTATTCGATCGATGTTTCTCTGTATAGCGCGTTAGTTCTAGTCTATGCGAAATCGATTCGTAGCGTTGGTCGAATTGAGTCTCCTCTTGAGCGAAATTCTTCGAATCTTCTGATCGTATCGGTCAGATTTTCGTAGCAAATTTTTTATCGTACTTCGTATTTTAACAAATTCAAATTTCATTGAACGCTTCTTCCTTAGAATTTGCAACAAATAAAATTCATTTAATCCTCTGAAAATTCGCGAACCAAGTTGTTCGAGCCTACTGGAGGAAACTTGAGCAAATTCAAATTTCGTTTAAAACTTCTTCCTTGGAGTTCCAACAAATGATTTATAAATAAAATTCTTCAAATCTATCGAAGGGACAAATTCAAATTTCGCTTGAAATTCGCTCTTTAAAGTTCCAATATCAAAATCAATTGAAATAATGTGATATAAAAGTTGGAAGGTACTTTGTCTAAACCCTAAGTGAGAATATATGGTAAATTTGGAATAAAAGTTGAAAAATTGGTTCTTTAAGCTCTAAGTGAGAATAGATAGTAAATTTCCAATGAAAGTTGAAAAACGCGTTCTCGAAGCTTTAGGTGAGGATAAATGGCGAGTCTCGATTGAAACAAAAACCCATGTTCGAGTTTGTTCTGGTAAGTAGGTCATATATAGGAGCAGCGAGTAGTAAAGAACCGTATATGGTCAGACATCGGTTCTGTTCAAGCCGTGAATTAGTCTTCTCCCTCTTCTTTTCTTTCCTCCTTCCTTCACGTCGAAAAACTTAATGCTGGAAATTCCTCGAGCATCCGGAGATTATCCCCTGCACCTCTACTTTGAGAAACTACTGCCGGGAAACAACTCTATTAGTAGATGGAAATCAATTCTCCTTAATCAGATAGCAAATTAAATTTCCATCGAACCGGACAATTGTGTTCTATTCTATACGTATACTTGCAAATCAGATACATTCGTATTTCTGAAATTAACAATTCATTCTAAAGAACATTTTCAGGAACTAAACATTCTAGTAGAAGCTCAAATTAGAAGACTTTGCCAGTATTCAGCCTCTAAAATTCACAATCGATCTAAGAACTTCGCTTCGAGTTTCCCGAAGCAGCTACAAACGCGGAATAGACCAAAATTTTCACGTCTTTGTAGCGAAATATTCTCTTACAATTCGAAGTACAGAAAACGAAAAATCTACCAAAATCCAGCTAAGACTCTCGGGCCAAAGATTTTCACTATACCCAGCCCTTCATTTTCACGACCAATCCCGAAACAACCCGTTCCAAGATCCTGAAAACAATTTCAAACCGCCCCAAAACTTTCATATTTTCTGTGTAATAAAATACTTTCTTAAAATTCTACACCGTGAATTTTTTTAGAAGATCGAAGGTCCGCCAAAATTCCGTTAAAATTCTCGATGCAAAGATTTTTACGATACTCGTTCGTTCGTTTTCAAAGACAACCGTGAGGGCGTGCCATTTCGAAATCCCCGAAACTTCTATATCTCGACAATTTGCCACAATATCAAACTATTTCGAGGCAACGAACTGCGGATCACGGCAATATTCCATCGAAATCCTCTTTCTCATCTTCCCTCCTGCGAAAAATATGAATTCGCGGGAGAACAGCGCGTGGGATATAAAAGGATGGCCTTGAAAAGTGCCGGAAGAAACTCTCGCACGGTTCTCTAATAAAGTCGCGAGCTGGCGCGTAATCGCGGGCATATTAAAGCGCGAGGAGAGATCAGGCCGCGAAATAAGAAGGGGAAAATCCGGTGTCTGGATCCGTTCGAGCGATGGCTGACAGGATTTCAGAGGGATGAGACTCGCTCACAGTCGACCGAATATGTCGCGTCTCCTTTTGTTTCGAAGCTTATTAAATGGCTGGGCAATCGAAACGAACGAACAATCGAGGATAAAGGATCCAGGTATTGAATAATCGACGATTTTTATTCGGTACTGGAAATTTGTTAGACCAGAAGTTATTTGTAGACTGGAGTGGAAAATCTTTAACTAAATGCAATTGTATATAAAGAGTCGATAATGAGAGATCCGAAACATCCTGAGCCTATAGTCCTAGAGTCTAGAGCCTAGAACCTATAGAATTCATAGTTTGCGAGCCAAGATTCAAACTTGATGGGTGAAAATTGATGACACCAGTATTCGATTAGTATATGAACATTTGACTAGTAATATTTGAATTGGTAGTATATTTAATATTTAAGTATTTGAGTTAGTAGCGGGCTACTAGTATTTGAATACTAGTATATTCCATTACTGTATTATTTTGTCTGAACGTTAGGATTCAGGTAGTATAAATCAATGTTGAAGTGCAGAGAATGAAGTCGAAATATTGGAATTGAACGACAGTAACCTATATAAATCATCGTGGCTGTTAATTAAAATCCAGAGTCAACATCACAATATCGTATCTCCTTTTGTCTCGCAGCTTATTAAATGGAGGATCGAAACGAACGATCTATAACGATGAATGGAATGGCTGCATTGTTGTAAGTGATGTAAAATTGAATTAGACCGCCTGTTACGACCGGCTGAGTGCAGGGGAATTGATGGTAATTAGGCTGCGACTGGATTCGATCGAGTCGTACCGTGGAAAAAAGGCTGCAGATGGGTGTTGATGTGAAAAATTGAGTTCCAGGGACCGCCACCACGATGGAAGCTACCGGGAAAGTGGGCTTTTTTTCACCAGGGTGGAGTCGCGCCAGATTTTATTTTGCTGCCGGTTCGAGTGCCCCGAAAATCGCGAATGAAAAGTATTGTGTGCACTTTATTGGGAATGTTTGCAGTCGATTTTTTCCGAATTTAGATTGATTTGTACGCAGAAATACTGACGGGTCTTTTGAAACTCGTCGAAAAAATTGCTCCGAAGTAATATTAAAGAAAATTCATTTTTCCATATCGTCTTTCTTTTATATAAAAAGTAATTTCTTGTATTGGGTAAATTGTTGTTCAAGTAAAATTAGAAAATTTATAAAACCTATATCCTATGGATAAAATAAATATCGATATAAATGTTTAATCATATTGCGATTTCGGTATATTTCTTGTTTTTGTTTGATTAATGTGCGGTTAGAGAAAAAGATTGGAAACTTTTTTAAATGGAAAAATTTAGATTACTGTGGCATGATAAAATTAATATTAATAAGATAAACTTAGGAAAATTGACGTAGACCTGTTTAAATCTGTTCTTAAATAAAATTACTCTTCAACAAAATGAATAATTGAGAAAAAGATTTTTCTGCGCATTAGTCAAAATTTATCGCCAGAAGAATATATTATTAATTAACTAATATAACTTTTTGCTATCTTACACACAAAATTACTGTATAAAATTGTTTAAACATAGCAAATACCAAGAGATAAATTATTTAAAACGAAAGATGCTACGCCATGTGAATCGAATCCGGGAAATATTGTATAATTAAAGCACAATGAACACTAATATCGATATACAATTCCGAACAGAATATTCACTTGATCAAACGAAGACAAATACCAACCGAACGAAAGTTGATAATTCTGTTCCTCTTTTAATATTCCTCTCTCTCTCTCTCTCTCTCTCTCAGTAATGATTTATTCATATCGTAAATCGTTATTCATTATACAACACAATTAATTCGACTGTAACGCGCATAATTAATTCCCCCATCCCTATGCTATCAACGATTTTACGTAATGCAAACATCATTATTTCAATTAATCGTACGCGGAATTAATTAAACATCGAACGAATATATACTTGAGGAATATAATTAAAAAAAAGA